CTTTTACTTTTAGTATGTGTCCTACAACACAGGTTAAACAAATTCATTTTTTTATTTGTGCCCTAAATTTGACATGTATTTACATTCATAGCCTACATCGCTAATAGAAAATGACGAGTTTGGAATATTATTTATTTTGCGTGGGGGTGTGCGGGGATTCTGCGGAATCTCTTCTCTTGTTTGAGCCAGAAGAGATGGGTGATCCTATTTATGCAAGTTTTGCACGGGTAAAACCTTATCCGAAGGAGTGAGTTGCTATTATTGCTGCTCACTTACAGCCCAACAGGAAGAGAGGACGTTACCAAGTCATGTGTGAAGAACATGGGCCACAAATATTGATGGAAGAAATCATGTGAACCTTATAATTGAATCCGCTGTTTCTGTTGGACTTGTATGCTCCTCCTCCTCTCTCACCCCTTTTTCGTGTTCCTACTAACATCGTCAAAAAATAAATAAATTAACATTGGACTTTCCTTGAAACTTCCAAACACCGACACACACACAGACATTTCAGATGAAATGGCGCAATTTGTGTTCCTTTTACACATGGCACTTTGTCGGCGGAGCTTTCTTTCTTTCTTTCGTTCTTTTTCATCCCATTTACATTTTGGTTATTCTTCTTTTTCTGCTCTCTTTCGGTCATGAGCTTCACTATTTAAGCTGCAGGCCCATGCCCATCAACGTTGCATGGATCTTGCACTCTAAAGGCTCATATGCACACATTGAGTGCAAAAGGATTCTTGAGTAGACCTTTTTTAATTTGGGCCGAGAGCCTACAAAAAGTGGACCGTGGCCAACGAAAAAAACTCCTCGCTATTTTGATTAGTTATCATAAAGCCCACTTAAAAGTTCATATCAATTAGCAATAGCATATGATAACTAATCAAAATAGCGAGGAGTTTTTTTCGTTCATTACAGAGAAATGAATTATAAAACTAATCATTCTAAGTGGGCAACTCCGAATGGAATTATCTCGGAAATACATGTCTGTTTACTTTTTATTTCTTTTAAAGATTTGAGTTACGTACCTAATACATGTATGTTTACTTTTTTAATCTATTTTACCTGAATGTAATGAACTCAAACCCAAGGCTATTTAAGAAGGAGTTGACTACTGAGACCGTTTTTTAAGGCATTAATCAAGGGAGAATGAAGAAATTCATAAAATAGAATCGAGGAGTTTTGTAGGACATGATTAGTTTTTTCGCTATTATCGCTATTCAGGGCCGATGGAATAATCTCGGAGCCGAAGTCATTGCATGATGGGTAGCTCCACTTCAGAAGCTTTAGTAGGACATCAATTCTAAAAACATAGACACCCATTGAAGCAATGTATTGAAATTTTGTAGCATCTTGCTTGGATAACCCTAAAAGAGTCGTATCAACTTGCTGTGGTGCAAATGTGAAACAAACAAGAACCAAGATTAGGGGAAAACTATATTAGTTGCAAAAGAGTATGAAGCACCATATAAATGACATAACAAGGGCAAATGGAAGGTGTAATCTATGAAGGAGAAGGTGCAAAAACATACCATAGCTTTCAGATCAGAGCCCTTGGATTTCTCGGCAAACTGGACGATGCGCCCTGTCTCGTCTATCTTCATCAATCCATAATCAGATGCACGGCTGCCGAAAAAAAAAAAGTAGAATCAAGATTAATTTCAAAATTATAAATGAAAATAACGATCTCCTTACATAATGCTCTGACTAACATTAGGCTAAAACAGAAGCAAGAAGGCCTATGAGGAGATATTTGAGATACTAGAACTGAGTCTTTTTTATTGTAGCAGTTACAGTTAGTTTAATGGATAAATACAATTTTCACATTTTATCCAAAAAAAAGATAAACGTTAATAAAATGTACTCAACAACCAATTAATCATAAACCCTGAAAATTTAACACCAGCATTTATGTATCGGATGATATTCCATCCTCAGAGAAGATCGAGCAACATTTCTACCATGCCAGAGCACCCAAATTCTAAACCCCACGGAGAAATTCATAATCACAGAACTTCACGTTCAGTCTAACGTTTCGCTATCCTAAATCAAAATGGGGAAAAGATTAACAAACATCAAAGGGTAAACATTATGACAAATGGAAAGGGTTTTTTTTAAAGGGGTTAGTTTGACGTGAATGCCCCCGTTCTTTCCCAAGAAACAATTTTTTTTTTTTAACATCATATGATTTGCTTTACTTATAGTTCTCCTCCCTAAATCTAAAATTAAAACTTGATATTTAAAACTTATACACTCAATTTCTTAACTAATAAAAAAATTAGTATTTATCTATCTTATCTCTTAAAAATTAATAAAAAAATCACTTCAAAATTACATTATTTTAATAAAACACTACAATAAAAGACAAAAAAAACTATAATTCATACTTTTAAAAAGATATTTTAGTTTTTTTAATAAAATTTTATTAAAAGGTGTAATTTTGAAATAATTTTCTTCCTAAATATTAGGAAATAAAGCAAACAAATATTATTTCTTACTATTAATATACCAAAAAAAAATGCCCTTATATTATGGAAACTTTATTTTATAATTCATATTATACTAAATTATAAAATAACAACTATTAGATCAAGAAAGGACTCTTAATATCATAAAGTCTATTCTTATTCAATAATTAATATAACGTAGATACAATCTAAACTATATTATATTTTTTTATTATATTATGGCATTTTTTATTTAAAATCAACTGATAATATTGTATTTATTGCAATAATGCTGCATAAAAATTGTAAGTTTAGAATATTAGGCTTTGGAAATGCCTCGTGACTTTTTGAGTTGGGCTACAGTCGACTCAAGAAGGTAGCATTTCATTTTTTCCGTGGGCTTTTACCATGGTCAGCTATATCAGAAGCCCGTCCAAAGGTCCAATGTTCATTATAGTAGTATTTTTCATTTATTTGGGCTGTGTACAGATAAAAATTTAGGCCCGGAATTTGATGCGTCGGACTTTAAAACCAGACGATTTGTACAAAAGCCCACGGCATATATCTTTGTTCAATTTATATCAATTACACATAAAAAAACTTTTTAATTAATTAAATATATGTGACTAATTCATTAATTATATAAATTCTAAATATATGTTAAATAATATAATTTCCTAATCTATAGATATAATGTAAGATCATTCTTAAACTTAGGTGTGTGTGATCTATAAAAACAAATTATTTTGATACAATAATTGAATTTTTAATATATTAACTTAATTTGAAACTAATGATTAGTGCATAAGAGTTTTTCAATTATATTAATAACGAAAATTATCAACTTCAAATTAAACCAAAAATCACTAATCATTAATTACTGTTATACGAAGCAACCCTTATGTACTCACCATTCAAAGTTTCAAACTGTTTCATTGCACCTCCCTTTCCTGCCGTCGTTCCATTCTCAGGATTACGTCAAAATCAACCACAACCTCTCTTTTGTAAGCCTTGCCTGGCTATTTAGTGGTACTTTGACTAAATGATACTTTTTTTTTTTTATTGTGCTGTTAATATTAAGTAATCATATTAAATTTTGATTAATTTAAAATCGAGTATCATCACACTCATTAAAAAAAAAAACTTTTTAATGTTTATTTATTTATTCATAAGATTTAAATTTAAAATTTTATTTAAAAAAAAAACTAAACTCATTTCACCTGAATTAACGTATTTTCGACCTAAATGATACTCATTGAGAAATGCCTAAATGGTGCTTTGACTTTTCTTTTCTAATGTTAAATGTTAGTGGTTGACTTGTTGGTAGCCAAAGCCGGTTATTAATCATCACTACAATTTTTTTTTGTTAAAATTACTAATTTGATTGTAATTTTATTTTTTTATATTTTTAAAATAATTAATTATAATATTTAAAATATTTATTTATATATTAATGTTAATTTTTAAATCATAAATATTAATTATTTTATTAATTATTATTTATTTTCAATAATTAAAGTAAGATAAAAATGCCAAGGACAAATCCGTAGTACGTACTTTAAAAACAGGTTGTTGGGCGGTAAATAACCAGGTACTGGTGAACGATATGACAAACAAGTGTTGCAACCAATCAATCAAGAACAGTAATAATAATATCAATGAGAGGTTGGATCAAGTAGTAAGCGATTTGTTTCAGCTTAAGTAAGATCTCGAGTTCGAGACTTTGTATATGTAGCAATTTTCGCTGGGAGACTCAACCACCATTTTCAGGTGTGCGACGCGGGTCGGGTCCGGATTAATCGAGGCGAAACCCTGGATACCAGGCGAAAAACCACAAGAAAAAAAAAAAAAAAAGAACAGTAATAATAATAATATGTATCAGATGGACAGCCTTCAGAAGAAACATCAAATCAAATTTTTGCCTCAACTATGAATCTCTGGCAAACTTTATTTCCAGAAGACATTGACCTTTAGTTGGGAGTCTTCTCAAAATTAAGAACAGGAAGCAATCCCTTTTCCCTGCATGTTTCCACTGCACCTTCAAACATCTGCTCCAAACTGTTCTTAAACTCAAACCCCAAGTCCGTCAGCTTTTTGGAGCAGAACTCAATGTTTGGCAGGTTCTCATCCACGCCCTCGAACCTGAATTAACCAAAAGTCCAATACATGACTTTTAATTTTCAGCCAAAAAAAAAAGGGTGTTTATTTTTATTTTTTTAATGAGGACTTACTCTGTAGGAACATTGTATTCAGGGTATTTTTCTCTGAGTAATTTTGCGAGTTCTAGGATGGTGGCACTGTGGGAGGAGCAGATATAACGGCCCTCTGCTTTAGGATGTTCGAAGAGGAACACATGAGCCATGCAAAGGTCATCTAGGTGCACGAATTGGCCTTGCTTTATAATGCGGTAATGAGATTCAGTCCCTGTGTAGAATATATACATTATCTTAATTAGTACTGAGTTCTAAACAAGTAGCATATGTATATACTTCAAGCTAGTTTTTGGACAGAAGAAGTACTGGTGATGGGAGAAAGGCCGGTGATGAGGCTGGGCGGCATGGATGGCATGAGAAATGGACCAATCACTAGAGTTGGGATTATAGTAATGAAATCAATGTTATTCTCTTTAGCAAACTTCCAGGCAGCCTGCTCAGCCAGTGTCTTGGACACGAAATACATCTACACCACCAGACAAACAAAAAGGCCTAAATATAAATATATATATATATATATATAATTACTATCTAGAAGCTAAATATGACTTTCTAGCTTTTCTAGAAACTGAATTCACTCAATTTAATTACCCATCCAGTCATTTTCTTGGTACGGACAAATTCCAGATCACTCCAATTTCTCTCATCGTACACCGGCTTCTGCGTCTCTTCAACATTAACAGTTCCTGCTGATGATGTGAACACCAGCCTTCTAACTGTATTTGATTTGGTACATGCTTTCATTATATCCAAAACTCCATTTATGGTGGGTTTTATCACTTCATTCTACAAAAACCAGAAAACAAAAAATCATAAACATATATATACACGTACCAAATTAAATCTTTCTTCATAAAATAAAAAAATCACCGTATGTGTTTATATATACCTCAGGATCTTTGGACTCAAAATCCATGGGGGTAGCGACATGGAAGACTCCGGTGCATCCTTGAATTGCTCCATCAAAGCTTCCCTCTTCAGCTAAATCGGCTTTCCAGAGGGTGAGGTGAGTTTTTGCATTAGGCAGCTCAAGAAGATGCTTCACCTTTTTTTCATTATCTGTTCAGATTTAAAAAAAAAATGAAAATTACCATAAACAAGATGGATAAAGAAGGACCATAGATGAGTGGTACATATGAAAGGAAGAAAAATTTACTAGGGTCTCGGACGGTGGCGCGGACTACATAGCCACGCTCGAGGAGTCTCATGACAAGCCATGATCCAATGAAACCTGCAGCTCCGGTGACACAAACAGTCTCGGATTCTGACCCCATGAATGTTATATCTTTTATTACTTTGTGGAAATTGTAATGATAAAAAGAAGAAGCTATATACGAGAAGATAAAACAAAGAAAACGAAAATGGTTTAAGGCAATGATGATGGAATTTGTGTAAGTTATATAATGGAAGAGAGTTTTTGAAATTTTGATAATAAATAACTGATCTTCCAACCTTCCAACAAATCACGTGATCAGCGAACGATTCACGTGCTTCACGCACTTGGTAGCTGAAAGGTGGGAATTTGTCCTCAACTGAAACATATATGGTAAATGACTAATTATTTATTGATTATTTAGTTCATATGAGATTTAAGGTTAATTACTTTGTTAGATTAGGTGGTGTCGGTGATTAAGCTATTTCTGTAACAAATAAAAGTGTTTGTCTTCTTAAAAGAAAGAACAAATAAAAGTGTTTGACTTCAGATTATTAGTACCGTACTGAGGTAGTTGAGGATCCCCTTTTGCCAACCAATACTGTGAAAACTTTTAAGGGGAGTTATTTTCAGGTTGAGGGTGTTTCGGGGCCAAATTATCCACCTTTCTCCTTAATCCGATGAAAAAGAAACAAAAAAAAAGGTCATTTTTGTTGAAATGGAAGGAATTTATAAGCAATTAAGCATTCATCTCTTATTGGTTTTCTTAAAGGATTGAGTCAATAAATTGGGCAGGGAAGCCCTTACCAACTACCAGCCAAGCAACAGAGTGCGTTAAAGTCTTAAATTGACTGGAGCGTCTTATTCATCAAACCGATCATACTTATTCTACATGGACAAGTTATCAAAAAATTTATTACAAGATGTCCCCAATTGGATTGTGGAAAAGTGGAAATATATGGTCCCCTCTGTCAGTATTTTGAGTTTTTGACTTTGAATTTAAAAATTAAAGAAAAATTTTTCTACTATATCTCGCAAGGATACTTATTCTAAATCCAGAAGAAAAAAAAAATTGATAGCTCACCAAATAATCAATAAAATTTTAGCAAGTTGCCTGTGAATGAAATATTTTAACAAATAAGAATATGAGATTTTAAATTAAAGGT